TTTGGTTCAGGGTAGTATCTAGTCGAGCACTCTCGACTAGAGTTTTCTTACTTGTTTCTTTTGGTTTTCGTACATGTATTCTTTTTTAGCCGGTCAATGCGTAATTTGAGCTGCGGCTACGCGAATTTTGTTTATTTTATATTTGGGCAACTTATGACAAATACATATTTATTGCTTGCACTAAGTTCGAGTGTTAGCTATCTACTAATTACTATGCAAAGTTTGTACGTCTGTCGGTCTGCGATAAAACTAACATTGCATTCAAATTTTGAATATTGAGGAATATATATATTAGAAATTTATAAATTTTGAACAAAGTACATTTTTGTTTCTGTGGACGATAGTTTGGCCTTTATATAGTAATTTTTGTGTAAATAAAATTTTTAAAACTACTATTTCATCCTTAGAAATGTTCACTCTATTATTTTGTTCTATTAAGTCTAAAAACCTGTGAACTACATTTACAGTTACATTATAAAGCTAAGCAATTAAGTTTTATTTTTTATTTATATTATTGCTTTATATTATCTTTTGTGTATATAATACAAATATATAAAATGAATTTTAGATCTTCATTAATTTGCAAAGAAAGGAAAACAAAAGTAGTGTTTTATATAATTGGATTATCATGTCTAAAATTAATTATCTTAAGATCATTTGTTAAGGTAATGTAAAACCATTAATTATCTATCTGTTGAACAATCTATTAGAGACAGTTATTTAGTTTATTATATCATTAGAACTAACCAATAAGAACTACAAAATTATAATCAAGTAATATATAGTAGTTTTCAAATTATTCCTTTAATATTAAAATTAATCTACGGAACTTGATTCTGTTTTAGCATATAATTAAGCCAGGTTTTTAACGTTTCGTTAATCTAAGACAGTTTATAGTTTCTTATTTAGTGGTATTTGGTTTGGCAGCGCCCCGAAATTAAACACGACAGCTGCTTAGCTATCGCGGTGTTAATGACTTCTTCTAATCAAACAAATGCTCCTCGGCTCGCGGTGTAAACAAAGCGTCAAACAAATGTTTGAAAAGCAAAAAAAGTTATTGACATGCGCAGACAGCCCTTAGGCAGCGAGGCAGGGCAACGACGCAGGATAATGATACAAAGGCCCACGTCCAGGCTAGCACAGACGACAACTGACCTGCGACAAAGACAGCGCCAGAGAAACATCTGCCTCTCACAGCTTGAGCCAGAGCTCTAGCTTGAGTTCGAGTTCGGGTTCGGGTCCTCAAGATGTCTGTGTCTGCGGCCTACCTGCAGACAGGACAGCAGACAGGGAGTAGAGAATAGTGAGAAAGAGGGAGAGAGAGAGAGGCTTGGAACCGGACACCCAAGCAAAGTTCAATGTACGCCTGCGCAAACATTTTACAGGATGCACACGCGCAGCTGCCACAGGATTTGTCGCTCGGATGTGCGTGATTTTTATTCTCTCTGCCTTCATGTCTGTTCGTTCCTTGTCTTTTATTCTTTTGCTCAGTCTCTTCTTCCTTCTTGCACTTCCTAAACGGAAATCTCAAATGTTGTAACTGTTATATTTTTTCTTTTCTTTTCGTTTATTTTTTGCCAGACAACTTGTATGTAATCTGTGTAACGATCGCTTCGACCGCTTATCCTGGCCACGCCCAGTAACCTCTTGCTCTCTCTCCCCCTCTATCGCTCGCTTTGTGTGTGAGCTACCGGTTTTCCGAAAACAAGTTGGGAATGCAATTTGAAACTTTTTTCCATCCATATTTTTGAATTTTTTGTTGGAGTCCTATTCCTCGCTCAATTGGGGCGATCGTGCCCCTGTGCTCGTATTGAGTTACAGTGGCTCGAAAGGCTGCGTCTGGAAAGTATTTGGTTTTAAAACATTGCTGTACCTTGTTATCTCTGATATCCATATGCTGGCTGCCTGGCTGGACTGGCTGGTGGAACTGAAAAGCGAGCTCCTTTTTGCTGGGGGGCACATGCAGGTGATGCAGCTCGGACAGCTGCTAATGTTGCCTAACCAGCATATACAATTTTGTTGGTGGAAACGTTCCGCTTCGAATCCATTTGTACTTTCTGTACACCCAAAACCAAATAAATATTCAAAGTCAAGCAGCTGCGATTATAAGGAATCGAATATGCATAACTGCTGTTAATGTGAAATAAAGAGTTGAATATCTTTGTAATATTAGATAGTCTGTTCTATAGCCTGTTCTTTTTTAGATACTCAGAAATATTGTTATACATATACATATATGGTGATATGTAATGGAACTTTCAGTATATTTTATTATAATACTATCCTTATTCTCGGTTATTGTTACAATTTGTTGTTGATAATTAGTTAACCATTTACTGTTTTTACAGCTTTATCCAAAGTTAATGAACTGTTTATTGAAATCAAGCCGAATATTAATAGGTTGATATGGTTTGAATCTGGAAAAAAAGGTGTAATATCGAATCGATGTTCCTGATGTTCCTTTCATTATCAATCAAAATGCATTACTCCAAACTTTTCACCTAAAAATTCTGTTTTAGCTAAAGCTAAAACATAGTTAGTTTGTGTCAATATAGAACTCCCCCGCACTAATTATTACTATGATATGTGACTACGTGAATTATTGCAGTTAATCAATTGAACACTCAACTATTTCAATGCACACTCACACACACTCATACACACACACACACACACACACACACACACATGGATGTATTCTCAGCAGCAACCGCAGCTAATCAATCGAACGACGTCCATCAGCTGCCAAGTTGAAATACCAACTGTAGAAGGAAATGCATCAGCAACTGCTGCAGATGCTGCCTTCTGAATTGTGCATTGTGTAGAGCAGTCCTCTGCTTTGGGTCATGGCGCATGCCATAGCAGGAGCAGTTGCTGTCGCAGTCGTAGTTGCAGTTCCAGTTGTCGCATCTAGTTTTAGGGGAACTCCCATTTCAAAACAGATGTTGCCTATAGTCACAATCAATGCATCAGCGGGCAGCTGTAGGCAGGCAGTCAGTCGGAGGCAGAGGTAGTTTGTTGCAGCCGGCATTCAATGCATTTATTATCCTTCGTACCTTTGCGTGGCGACAGATGGCAACGCAGTCATTCAGTCCGCCAGGCCTGGTTCGGGTCAAGCAGCTGCTGTTGCGCTGAAGTCTGCACTAAGCACTTGAAGTGCAGGTGTTGGTTGGCCTGCCAGAGTTGGTCATACGGAGTCGAGCCTCTGCCGGGCTCGTCAGCTGGTCAGAGTGTTGGTCCGGTTGGCCCTGGTCGTGACTGACCCTACACGCATACCACGACGCTTGATGGGGGATGTTGCCAAAAATCAGCTGTTTTTGCGCAATGTTTATAAACAAAATGTAACCCTTAGACAAGTCTGGGCCAACACACCAATATGTATATATAGAGATATATTTTTGGAACCACCACTGAACACAGCAGAGCAGAGCTGAGCTGAGTCGAGCTGAGTTCTGCTGTTCTGTGCAGTGTGTAGAGTTAAAGGCAGAGCAACCACCGGCAATGCGACCATGTCCACGACCTACTTTGGCGCACTGGCTCTGGGCCACATGGCGCATGGGGTGGTTCCGCTCACAACAACACACACTGCAGACAGTGTAAGGCGTCCACGGCCTTTGTAGGTGCAAGGACGTTTGACACCGGGTGCAAAAATCCCCCCAATCAACCCAAACAGTCACGGAGTAAGCCGGCAGCAACCACCAAGTCAAATATGAGGCACCGACCGACCGACCACCACGGAAAAACCATGTGCTCTGCTGTGTTCCGCTCTTGGTCATGTGCTTAACCGAACCACCACCGCCGACACCACCACCACCACTGTCAAGAGCAGCGTATTACCCACCTTGCAGTTCATTGGCATGTGCCGGCATGTCATCAGCCTCATCCACACAACGTCTTCGTCACTTTTAGGAGTTTTCCCAAAAAAAAAAAGAAAACAACAGAAACCAAAACAAAGTGCGACTTGGTGGTAGTTAGAGTCGCGCTCCCATTCATAAAGCATAACATAAACATACCCCCGCTCTCTCTTTTTCTATATATATGTATATATTGTATTGTTTGTTTTGACTGTCTCTGGGTGGTTCTTTATTCTAGGTGGTGTTTGTTGGCATAGATTTCCCGACCTAATCGCAGGTGTACCCTCATATATATAGTATAGACAACCCCCTAAAACTTGTGGCTAGCTCAACAGGTCCGTCCTGGTTAGTAGTGGTTGTTGGTGTATATGTGTGGCCCGATTGAGGGTAATTAGTATTTTTTGGGGTTATAAAATTGGCATTGACCCAACCTGCATATATGTATGTATATGGATGAAGGGGTTGAAGGTCGTACAGGTTGGTCTTAAATGGGTTGTTGGGCAAAAGACTCTTGGAATTTTAAGATTTAAATACTTAAAGATATTTTATGTCAGATTTATACGAATATAGTTTTCAAGTTTTTTTGTTTTCTAAGAATACATATTATTCAAATAAATTGATCTTATGAAATGATACAAATAAAATGAGAGTTTTTAAAGCATTATGACATTCAATCAAAATACACAGAAATTGGGATTTAATAATATAGCATACTTTTTTGTAAGTTTTGTTTGTGAAATATATAAAAAATTATATAGAGAAATAACCAAAATAAAACACCTAGAATATTAAACATGTTATCCATATATGTTGAAAAAATTGCAATAATGAATACCTAAATATCCGCTATTACTCAAATGTATTTCACTTTTAAAGTAGGGTGAAATTGATAGCTCCGTTCTCAAAATGGTGTAATTGGAGCATTTCCGAGGAAGAAAAAGT